TTTCCTACCTCCTTTAATTTGTGTGAGCAGTTGAAAATACTGAGCCTTCAGAAACTTCTTGTGCCAAATAACATGTATTAACTTGCTCTTCTTACTCATCACTTTGCCAGCTACGGATGCCCTGGGTCTGAGGATGTGGTTCAAAGCCACTGTACTGTGCAATTTCTTGATACTGCTGAATAGGAATAACCAATCTATGAAGAATGCCAGAGGACTATTGTTATCATTTATGCTTAGTGTGGACCATACATAAAGATCATCATGGGTTTGGGATTGCTGCATTACGAGAACTGTGATGCCATTCAGCTTTTCCACCCTTTTAAAGAAAACCACACTTTGTGATATGTTATTTGTACAGTATCTTAGAAAGATGCAAGTCTGCAGAGGCTGAACTGGCTCTGGCTTGGTCTGTCCCTAACCTCCACTGGTAGAAAGGACTTAGAAACTTGAGTAAAATGGTGGTGGTACCTTCCAAGTGTTTGACCTTACCCAGGATGGTTTTCAGTCTTTCAGTCCAGTATTTCCAGGTGATGTCTTTTTTCTTCCCTATCCTCTCATTCACTCCCTTCTTCCTCCCACATCCAAGGTGTGTTGAGAAGGAGGCTCAGCTTTGCCTTTCTGTTAAGTCCCGGCTTTGGCATTTCTAGGCTAGAGCTAATGCTGCAGACTGTCCTAGAAAATCAATGGGAAATTTCAACCCCAAGTCGTTGTCTCTGTGCTAAGGGAGTTGAGCCATTTCTGCAGTAACTCAGGGTTCAGATGTGTATTTGAATCTTAAAGCAGCTAAGCTGGTTCTTAATTTTAAATGTACAAATGTTCTTACTAATTTCACAGAAAAGGGAGCTCAGGGTGATTGCAGTCATCTTCAGTAGCGCTAAATGGGACTGGATCCAGTAGCTTGCTGGCTGGAGGCATCTTTCAGCTCAGCTGTGGTGCTCTCAGTACCAAGACTTGAACCTTCCAAGTTTATAGCTGGCTTCTTCAGCAGATATTTGGGTTTGTGCCTCGCGCTTTGATGCCTGCTCCGCCTGCTCCACCGTGGTGCTGCTGTGTTATTTCTGCATTACAGTGTTCAGATGCTAAGGCAGGATGGGCTCCACCGGCTCATCTTGTCAGGAGTCGAAGGAGAAATTGTGGATTTGTAACTTCCTAGTTGGAGCCTAGTTGCAGTATTGCAGCTTCACCATTAGGCCCTAAAATGGTTCTGGAGATGTTTCTAACAAGCTTTGTTGAACTGGCTAAACAGGGTTAGGCTTCAGTGTAAGGTATATATGGTGAAGAGCGATGGGGAAAAATGTTGTGACATGTGGCTGGAAGGAGACCTACAACGTGTCTTCTGGGACAGCAGAGTAGCAGTGTATTAAGGGTTAGCTCAGCTGAATGTGCTTTTTGACAGACTGACTGAGGAGGTTGTTTCTGGATGTTGAAATCAGTAGTAGAAGAGAGGAGCTTCCAGAGGGATTGAAATAATTTATGTGTGTTCAGTTTCAAGGATTAAGCAAAATTCAGATGTTTATTTATGTGGCTTTGTCTTAATACTGCTTTTTATACTACAACAGTCAGTAAAAATGAAAGTAAAACCTTACTTACTCTCTAGTTCTGAAAATGTGATAGAAATGTTATGGTAATATCTATTTGGTTCTCTTTCTTCTGTGACTATTTGTATGCAGCCAAGCTTATTGTGCATGTGACTACAATTTATGCATTTTATGCTGTTTGCAAATAACATTTTCTACTCACAGATGTACATAAAATCAGTCAGGAAGATAAGTGGCATTCTATAGTGAAAACAATAATCTTGTTTGTGTAAGCCTATAGACAGCAGGATCCTGTGATACTTGGAATAATGAAAGCACAGTTTATAAAAATAGATGTTGAGAATATAGCTGGTTTATGATTGTGCTGGCTTTTGTGAAAAGCTGCTCTTGTTTTCTGTATGCCAGAGAAGTTATATGGGTTAAAGGACAGTACTTTTGCATTATTTTGCCATGCTGTTGTTGCCCAATAGATCATTTGCTATCACTGTGTACCACCAAAGAAGTAATGAAAAATTCCCTGTAAATAGTAATAGTTTGAGTGCCTAACCTCCGTAAGGTTTGATACAAAAGCTCAGTAAATTCTGTTCACTCACTTGTCTTTGACTTTGGTCATAATATTGTGTTTAGATGTTCCTTTTCTTGTAAGAAGTTATCATTTGACTTTTATTTATAGATTCCTTTGGTTTTGGGGAGGGGGAGAAGGAGCACTCTGCTGTACAGTCTTCCATCACTGCATCACCATGGTGCAGGATCCATAAGACGGCTTTCAGTGTCTGTTCCTACAACCATATCGGATGATTAGCAACTTCATCTTGGCATGAACCGTGACTGTTCTAACTAATGTGTGTGGGTCTCTTTGAGATCAGATGTTTTATACTGCTGCTGGCTTAAGTGGTATTAAATCATGATGCTTAGTTTTGCATTAAGGGTTTAGTTACACGTTTGGGGTTTGTTTTAAATAAAAAGTAATAAAAGATTTCTTTATGGCTTTTAGTAAGTTTGCTGGATCTTACACATGTAGTGTGCATCCTGGTAGTGTAGTATTTACTGTAAAATATTAATGTCTTCCAGAACGATCAGTGACTATGGAAAAATATGCCAGTTCCTAATGCTCGTGGGGAACTTCTAAAATCTGTCTTACAGTGCCTATACCTCCAGTTTTCCTCATACTTCGTGAGCTTATTAGGTAGCCTGCATCTCCAGCACTTCATCTACCCTGATTTCACGTGGACACTGTTAATTGTTACTGGCCTTAGAAAGTTACTGGACTTCGTTCACACATGTGGCTTCAATTAATATAACGGAGATGATTATAAGCCCTTGTTGTCTTCCAGCTCTGGCTCTCTCTGGACAATTAGCTTAACCCCTGTTTTAATACAAGTCTCAATTTGGAAGCTGAGGAGGTTCTTTTATTTGCCCAGTGATCCTTTGGAGTAAAGGAATCCTTTCACGGATTAGAGGGAGTGACTTAAAATACTATTATTTCATCTTATTTGAAAGTTACAATTTATCTCTAGGCAGTAACCAAAATAGAAGTTGTACTCAAATATTTATTTGCAGACCTGTCCTCTCTTTTGAAAGAGGTGGTATGTCCCTGTTGACACAGATTCACCCACTTCAGTTATGTCTGCAGGAAATATTAAACTGTATATTATATGGCCATGTACTTTCAGGCTGGCGTACAGAACGGTAGGAGTCTGGGATGGGCAAATTGGTCTTAGTTGCACTGTTATGGCATGCATGTGTAACTTCTTAATGGCATTCTTGTCTTCTAAAAGGTGAGGCCAAGTAATTACATTTAGTGAAGTTACCCACGATTATATGGTTGCAGTGCCAGAGCCCTGCTGAAGTATGGGGAAAACCTACTTAAGTAGTCAAGTAATCCTGAAAAATGGGAAGGGCTGGGGTTGAACAGTCATGGTTCCCGAAGCCCTTCCTTCTCTGTTCATTCATGTAGCTCTCATTAATGCAGATATTCCCTAGTTAGGGTTGTGGCTACTCTTCTGAACCCTTTAGCAGCTCATTAAATCATGCTTTGGAAGTTGGGGAGGTTCTCCTGTTTTCATAACCTTGGGTTTCCTGATTTCTTAGAAAGGTAGGATCTAGAAGTTTAAATGCTCTGCCATCACGACTTAGGAATCCAGGAATACCACAACCTATATGGCAAAAACAGCTGTTACGTTTCCTAGAGTGAGGGAGTATAAGCCTGTGACATATGATCCTCCCTACTTTAATTGCTTGGCACTGGGGAGAGGAAGATGCCCTTCATTTTTATTTTTTTTTTTTTTGTATTTCAGCCTACTGCAAAAACAAGGTGAAGTTAAGTCTTTTGTACAAAGGTGGATGGTCATCCTCACCAGGGCACTGCAGTCGCCCAGAGGCTTTCCAGAGGGTCTCAGCCTGGATGGGTGTATGTTAAACCTCTGTCCTTTTTGATTCTGTCACAGCAACCCTTAATCAGGGGCAGTTTAAAGATGTCTGATCTAAACATTAGGCACCATACATTTTGCTTCCTTAAAAACGTACAGATTTAAATTCATAGGCACCAATATCCCTTAGTTTCCCAGTTTTAGGTACTTGTTTCTGTTGCTGTTAGATTACGTTCTGAGCTTGCCTTTTCCCCCAGCAGTGACACAGGCACACCTCTTTCTAAACTGATGTTAGCCAGGTTTACATTTGGTGCTGATGAGGAAATGAGGATGTGGGAGCTGTGTTCTCCTACCCCTCAGTGAAGCTGTTTACATTCCGTAGTTTGGGGTAGGTTTTTTCTTTGCTATTGTACTGTGCAGTTTTTTGCCTGTTCTAATTTGCCATGACGTGGTCAGTGCTGTTTCCTTCCGGCTGCTTGTGAGCCTGTGGTAGAGATAAGGATACGTTTACAGTGCATTTTTAACAAGTAGCTGAAGATCTGCTCCATGAAGGAACTCAGGACTCTGGATTGTACAAAACAATTTATTTACTAGTTTCATGTGTGTGGCACTGTGGGAATCAGGTTCTAGAGCGTTTTACTCACAAAATAACAACGTGACTAAATTTGAACTGTGTGTGAAGAAGAAAGGTGATACACATGAGAGATCCTACAGCTGAGTAGGTCAGTCTGAGTTTTGTGTTTTTATGTTGAATATAACTTAAAGATGAGAGTTATGCATGAATGTGAAAAGTGTATATGTGAATCAAATGAAAAGATGAATTTTCTTTTTGTTTACTTTTGTAACTTTCCCATAGTCTTGTGCTTTCAATATGAAACACTCTGAAACTTATGTCTTACTTTCTGAAGCAGTTTTAAGGGAATGAATATTGTCATGTATTAGTAAAAGTAATGTCTCTGATGATACAAAGGTGTCTGGCTTGCTTGGAGTTAGATGGAACAGTTCAGAGCAAGCTTTGTTGTGACTGCTACTATTTCACATTGCTAAAGGAATAATTTCTTCGTTAAAACTGGATTATTTTTTCCCTCCACAGTGATAAAGGCTATCAGGGTGGGAAGAGCAACTCAGGAAAGGATTTCCCTTGGGTTTGTTTCCCTTTGAGAAGAGAAGAACCTGTGAACATTGATGATCTAAGGAATCCGAACACTGATACTCGGTTCATTTTGTGATCCTGCCTCTCTGCCCAACTGGACCTCAGCGGCGCTCTCTGTTCTTTCACATCCGTGAAGGTTTTTCTTCATATGTGGAGCTGAGACCCGGGAATGCATTATTATGGCAGCAGTTGTACAGCAGAATGAGCTTGTGTTTGAATTTGCCAGCAACGTTATGGAGGACGAGCAGCAGGTATGGGACAGTGTAAGAAATCATGTTCATACAAGTTGCTGATAGGAATATTATAAAAACACAAGGAAAAAATGTGGTGTAAAACACAAAGAAGCAAACATTGAGGTCATTATTGTTGCAGCAGATCTCTGTGCTGTTTCAAAAGCTTCCTGTTGCTTCCTGTAACTTGCATGGGCAGAACAGAAATTGGTTGAAATGTTCTAACTTCTGCAGTATTGCAGAGACATCCTCCTCCAAAATACATTTTTTTCTGTGTCACTGACTTGTGCCAGTAGAATCGATTCACTTGTGATGAAGAATTCCCCAGATTCTGGTGTCTGATGGTAGTTTTAACTTTCTTAGTGTGCTAGGATAAAATACTGAATAAAAGTCACACTCCAGATGACTAGAAGGAGCAGTAGCTGTTTGCTCACTGCTTTTTACAGATCAGTTTCTAAATTGTGTTACTGTATGCCAGCTATTCAGAAATAAGCTTCAAAGTAACTTAAATGGGTTTCTTTCACACTGCAGGGAGAATATGTCTGTTCTTATCTGAGTAGGTTCTCAGTTAGGAGTCGATTATCTAAACCACATCCTGTGAGTCCTGAGGCTTCAGCAAGGAACTCTGTTTGTAAAAATCAGGCAGCTCCTTACCAGATGGTGGCTCATAGCAGGGTTTGCATTTATTAACAAGAAATTAGGTGTTTGGTTATTGTGGAGAAACAGCTTGTAAAAGGCTGCAATGTACTGCAACGAACTGTTCCTGTTTTTGTAGATGTGAAAAGCATTGATCCGCCTGTCTTTCAAAAATACTTCTGGCTTTATAATCTTGTCTCTCATTTTCTGTATGGCCAAATATCTGACTGGGTAAGTGGCCCGTTTCTGCTGTCAGAGTCATGTGATCACTTCAATGAACTGAGTGCTGTCTCTCTAAAGTGCTAACTCAGTTTTGGGTGGAACTTGTAATGTAACTTCCTTCCCTGTATTTTTCCAGAGCTTGTGGCAGCCTAGGGATTTAGGTATGGGAATTGCACAAATGTAGCTGAAAATGAGCCTTATTTATTGCTGCTGTTTGTTGTTTGTTGCTGTCTTTGCTTTACAAGCTGATGGGAGAGGGAAGAATTGAGATGGAGAGGGCTACTTCAGTGTGGTTTCCTCAAGGGGTAATGCTAGCAAACATGATTTTTTTTGGTTTAGTTGTGCATTCTGCCTCTTGCAGTTCCTTCAGATATTCACCTGGAAAACTTTAAAAATACTAAAGAGTACTCAACAGGGCAGTAAAAACTCCTTAAACAGGGCTTCTTCCAGCTCCAGAACAAACTCAACCTTGGCATTTATCTCGTAACCCAAATAAACCCTATTTCAGATGAAGTTTAAGGAAAGAAGGTGTCCTGTAGCATATCCTCAAGATGACAAAATGAAACATTTGAAAGGCCAAAGGGAGAGAGCGCATAGCACAAGGTCCATCACTGCAAAGAATCAGAGGCAAGCTCCTCTTAAATCACTGGGTTAACTTCGTTCAGGTACCAAAGATGCAGGCAGCCAGTTAGCTGGCTGCATGAAGGTAGATCTTAAATACTCACTAGTAGAAAAAGGAGTCCTGCATAGGGAAAGATGTGGGAAGCTGGAGCAAGATTTACCTCAGACAAGGATTTATAGTACATTGACCCCAAAAGATTACTTATTGTTTATACCTAGTTGACCTATTTCTTATAATGTAGGTGATACTGCTATTGCTGCTCCTGAGGGTTTTAAGTTCTGGACAGATTGGGGTTGGATAACATGATTTGTGTACTTTGCAAAAAAAATTAGCTCTTGAATTGCACTGCGTTTTTCAAAAGCATTTTGTCAGCTTTTTCAGTATACAGAAGGTGACATATTTCTATACAGGTATCATTTAATTGATCTTTGGATAATTAGTTTTGTGGTGCCCCCAAAAGCTGCATTGCAAGAGCTTTGGTACTTTTTGTCAAACCTTTGCCTTGAGCCCTGTTGTGCCAAGAGCTGTCAGGAGATGGAACAGCTGTGAGGAAGAGGAACAGGGTCTAGACAGCAGCTACATTCAGTGTTTCATGGAAGTCATCATTCATGGCTTTCAAAAAGTTATTTTCTTTTTAAGCCTTGGTTAAGCAGCCATAAATTATGAGCAGTACATTTGCATTGAGCAGTGGCAGATGCCAGTGGGAGGGACTCAGTCACGTGGCCCATGTGAACGGGAAAGGTTCTCTCTTACCAGCTTGATCTTTTTCTGGTTAGAAAATAATGATTTGTTTTTTTTTATTTGGAAAGTTCATTTATCACATTGTGTTTATATGGTGAGGGAGAAATGGGATGATGTCCGCGTAATTTTGAGGGGGGAACAAGCAGCTTGCACTAATGCTACTCATAACCTGTCTGGCTGATGCTACATGCCAGAGATCCTGGTTAAATGGAGGGGTTGCTTTTTTGTTGTTGGTTTGGTTTCTTTTTCAGAGAGACTGCACATATAAATCTGGTTAGGAGCTCCTACACGCTTGGCCTGCGTCAGTGCCACTGTCTAAAACTGCTTTTTTTTCATGTCTGCAGCTTCTCCCCTCAATGTCTTTTTATTTAATCCTTTGTTAACTTAATGTTATGTTTGATCAGGACATTGTTAATCTAAAAAGCTGAATAAAGCAGCCACAGAGGCTGTATCCTTACTAGGAAGGTTTACATGGTGCCAGAGTTGCACTGCATCATTGCAACCATTACATTGTCAGCGTGGTCCCCAGCATGACTGCTCTGTGCAGTCACGTGCTTTCTCAAGTGGCTGATGCATGTGGTAACCTGTACCTGAAGATACCTTCTGTATCTCTGAGGGATGGTTCTTTCTTCCCTTTGTCTGAAGGAGATCCAGTCCAAGCCCTGAGGTTGGGCTGTGACTTCTGTACCACTTTCTTATACCTTGGTTTGCTTTTTCACATTCTCTGATGTTGCTGTGGTCTTTCTGAAACATAAGTCACCTGGTCAAGGCCCAGGTCTAAATTTTTTGTCTGTTTCCAGCTCTGGCAGAAAGTCCTCTCCTTATCCACTTGCTGTTTATGAAGACTTTAAGTTAGATAACTGAGGTTATCTGCTTGGGAAAGCAGGCAGCATTTATCTGCTTCCAGAATCTCTCTGTGAAACTTGGTGATTTGCAGATGCTGGCCATGGGAATGCCTTGAAAGTCCAGAGGCTGCCTCTGCTGTTGGCACAGGAACCTCCAGTGAGAAAAAGCCAAAGCCCATTTTCTAGTCACCAAGGTCACTTTGCTGGTTTGTTGTTTAATAAATGGCCAGTTGTATTGCAAGTCTGGATTCTGTTGCTCTGTTAAAAATACTGTTTTTTTTTTTCACTGAGATTTCTTTCTTTTTTTGCCTTGTAGCTTTTCTCTGCTCCTATCTGTCGTATGCCTTTCTTCCCACCCATCACTCAACTCGCACAACATTTATTCCACAGCAGTTAGAAGCTAGTCACCATAATCCTGGAACAAGTTTTCTTCTTTAGAGGACTCACCGTATGAGAAGACGGTACCTCCAGAACAGAAGAAATCCCCTTCCTTATCTTCTGTTTCCATGACCAGGGTAGTGTTTTGATCTTGTGTCAGTTGGTGACAGCTGATGAGAAAATGTTCAGAGAAAAGAAGAAACACCTTGTCAGCATGTCAGACACTTGAGGAACTTGAGAGCAGAAAGAAATACTGCCTTTGGCACCTGAGGAGAGAGGGTTCATTTTTCAGGGGGTCATCAGGCATGAGTGATGCTTTCAAGCACCTCCTTATGGGATCTTCCATGGGCTTCAGCATCTGTCTGAAGCTTTGCAGTCTTCCAAGTTGTTAAAGATTGGTCTACAGGACCAGTTTGTAGATGAACTGCAGTGAGGAATTTGCTGTCTAAGACTTGGGAAGATTGCAGTAGTAGCTCAACTGTTTTATGTGTGCAGCAGACATGAGAGGTACACTGAAGCCAAGCCAAAGTTTGGCAGAGTGAGGGTGTCATATTTTAACTGTATTTTGAAAGATAAAGCAGCAGAAGTAGGCAAAAGGAGAAAATACACAGATTGTTCTTCTATGGATTTATATATTGATTTCTTGAAAATCGTTGCTGACACTTTAATTTGGGACTGTTTTTAATTGTGTAATACTTTGCACTCTTCCTTTTGTTAGTGCATGTAGAACCACCTTTGTATTAGAAATAAATTATTTTGTGTTCATGCTATTAGAGAGGTAATTTAATTTGTCTTAATTGAATCACTACCTTCTAGTCCTTAATTTAATGTTTTCTCTGTGTGTAATCCTCATTACACACTGCTATCAAAGGGAGCCATAGTAAACACAGGCTCTTCTGCAGCTCTAAATGTGTAAAAAAACTTATTCCTGTGTTATACAACAGCAGAGCCACGGGAAGCTTTAGCTTGGTTCTCAGTTAGGATTCAGGTGCTGTCAATGAAAACAAGAACTTTATGGAAGTACTGAGGGGAGATTTTCTCTCTCAGCAATCATGTATACATCAGCATACATGAGTGATAGTGCCTGTTAATGAAATCATGACCAATTACAAATACTGTGCAAAAAAAAGTGATCATTTCTGCAAAAATATATTTCAGATTAGATTTGTTTGCAGTTGTGTGAATGCTTTTCTTTCCAAAAGCATATGCTTCCTTCTGTACAACCATGGCAGGAAAGAAAGTCCATACATTGTAAGGTATGAGTTGGAAGCAGGTGGAGCAATGGGCCATAGGAAGTGATATTTACTTTGACTCTTCCAGTTCAAAACTAATGTAAACTTTGTTTACTGATGTAAGCAAAGCCACATTTAAAGTGTCTTACCACAAGTAAATGCTTTTCTGTTCATCTCTTGTCTTCTGGAAGCTCAGTGTGTCAACAAACACATTGGATAGTCTGGCCCCAAGTTCAAGCCACAAGGTACTGCCCTGCCATGGGGGTTCTCTGCCTGTAGACAGACACAGTGGCTGTGTTGGAGTGTGTGAATGATGGTTGCTTCTAGACATGGTCAAAATACAGTTTAAGCTTGCAGAGCAGATCACATCTGATCACATGGATCAAATCAGCTGCTGCTGAAGTGTCTGACAGCAGCACTGTTCAGTACTACGAGGATGGAGCCAGGCTCTTCTCAGTGGCAAACAATGAAAGGACAAGGGGTAATGGGTACAAATTGGAGCACAAGAGGTTCCACTTAAACCTGAGAAGAAACTTCTTCTCAGTGAGGGTGACGGAACACTGGAACAGGCTGCCCAGGGAGGTTGTGGAATCTCCTTGTTTGGAGACATTCAAAACCCGCCTGGACACGTTCCTGTGTAACCTTATCTAGGTGTTCCTGCTCCGGCAGGGGGATTGGACTAGATGATCTTTTGAGGTCCCTTCCAATCTCTAACATACTGTGATACTGTGATACTACAGGAAACATTTTGGTCAGTGGTGAGGCATACTTCAGTGACACGTGGATGGCTTGGGCTTTTGTAATTAGGTTTCACAGCAGAGTGATAAGTAGGGTGTAATATCAATAGGGCTTTGAGAAGCTGAGCTGAGAGCATGTGACAGTTGTTTGGTTTTATCTGTTTCATTTTGTATTCTGAAACAGTTTTTTATGACTTGTCCCCGCTAAAGAATAACAGCAGTGCTGGAGCAGGTTTTGCCTCTCCGGGTCCAAGTCAGTGACATGAGTGTCAGTCATTAATGAAGGAACAGAGCTGAGCTAAGGTAACTTTTTTATCCAAAAGAAGTTAATGTGAGGGTCATCCTAAGCATGGGCAGCTCGATGTGTTGCTGCAGATGCAGCAGCTCTCAAGCAGCTGCAGCGGTGAAAGCAGGGAGGAAGGAGCACCTCACCTCAGGCACATTGGGCAGGAAGCTGGGCATTTGTTGCTGAGTGTAGAGGAGACAAACGCCTACAGCAGAAACAGACACCCCAACGCCTCCACCCTTTTGTAGTCAATAGAGAGAAATAGGGGTTTTTAGGGCATGATTCATCCTGTTGTAGCACAGGAGCCTCAAACTGGGCAGAGAAATAGTGCCCTAGAAATACTCATTTCTCTGTTGGCTCTGGAGGAGGAGCCTGGGGTTCCTAGCTCAAGTCTAAGCACTGCAGCTGCCTGAAGTTAGGTGAGATGAACTTCACCCTTAGTGTCTACACACACCAGAGCAGTATGAAAAGACACAAGTCTTATTTGCATCTTCCGTACGTAAAACTGATGGTTTTAACCTGCTCAGTAGAATACTGAACAGGTACTTGAAAAGCACATGCTGTACTTGCTTGCTGGTAACAAGAGCCTGAGTGTTGTATGTAAACCTTTTTAAATTATTTTTTTCATCTAGCTACATATATGGATCTACAATGTATGTCACCTACATCCCAGTAGTTATATACTGTGGTATATTACTGAAATTGAGGTATTTAAACTATTTTAGAGCATGAATTGGATCTCGATGAGGCTGTAATGGACCATGTTCCTTCTAGTGTATGGAACATACTGTTGAAAATAAAACCCTCTTTTAATGCATACAGTATTAGATTTTTCTTCTTTACAGTGCTTTATCTTTTTTTATTGATGTGGCTTTTATTTTATCAAATCTGTTTGTTTATTTTTGCCTGGAAAAAAATAGGATCAGGAATGTTGGGGTCAGTAAACAAACAGGATGCATGCACATGTGAACATGATTCTTTCTGAGGAACAGCAGGGACCTCGTGGCCGCCACCAGTGATGTCTGGTTTTTCAGCCCCAGCATGATGCAGCTTTGAACAGTGTTGTCCACAAAGGTGTGGGGTAGAAGGTGTCCCATTGCTTGACACAGCATACACCCATCATCTGGCAATGTGATTGCACAACAGGGCTTTAACTCGTCTGCCCTTTGTTCATGTTTATTGATCTCCTGCCATGTTATTCTGGTTTGAAGCTTATGTTTGGTAGAGTAGATGGGTTATTTGCTGGGTTTTTTGCTTTTGGTTTTGTTGGAGTTTTTTTGTTTAGCAAACAGTCCATGATAGAAGCCCATACAAACACTAGTTCTGTTTCTTAATTCTTCCTTTTTTTCCTGATTGCCCTTTACCACAGTTGTCGCTGAGACATGTTTTACAAAACACAGAGCAATGAAAAGTGGTAATTACTGCCTTTTGAAACTTCTAATTGCACTTTCTACTTTTAGTACTTAAGTTCCAGGCTCTTCTCTAGGGGAGGCTTACTGCCATAGCCCTGTGTTGAGCCAATAGCTCTGATACCGTTTTCTCTTGGTGGCCATGTGTGTAGTGGCAAGACATGAGCAATCCCTAAGCAAGCTCATAATCACATAGTGGTTGTTTTTTCTCTTGTGGTTAAATAAGTAACCTTGGCCCGTGCGTATCTGTGCTTTTCTGTGGAGGGTGAGACCAAATGTGCATATACTGGTTTTATCAGAAACATGTTTTAGCAACTTTTGAATTTGTTTTTAAAGGGAGAGAAGCTTAGAGTTACACTAGACTTTCTTTGGGCCTGCTCCACTATCATCAGTTGTGACTTTCTTCCTGCAAAAAACATTCAAAGAGACTCACATTGGAAAATACTGTATCTGCAGTAAATGGTATTTTCTGAAAACCTCTTCCTCGTGAATAGCTGTCTTTTCAGAGAGTGTGTCTCTTACTAATATAATACTGGTCAGCTTGATTTCTGTTTTCCCAGCTGCCTCTTTTCTCCTGTGTCTGATGCAAAATAACTATTGAGGCAGAAAGATGATGTCTGAAAGCAGATTTAGGAAGGGAAGCAGTGAGGGGGAGTAATGTCAAGTGACTAAAGCTGTAAGAATTAAAGAGGGAAAGTATTACAGTATGTATGTGAAGCACTCCCTGTTACATTCCTTGCTCTTGTAGCAAGCATTCCCAAGTGATGTTCAACTAGTGTCTCATGGGAAACTTGGTGCTTGTGAGAGCTTTGTCCAGTCCTGACAGCCACAGGACTCCTTTGCCCCCAGCTTGTTGGGGAGACCAAAGATGAAGGTGCTTGAGGCAAGTCTGTGCCCACTATTATTGCCGACAACACGGAGCATTTACTGTGCATTGTCACTCCTCTGTATTGTCAGGTTTTGTGCTGCGAAATAATGTCCTGGGGTCCTGGTGTTTCCTACTCCAGTAAAGCCAGTATATTAGGTATTAGAGTGATGCTCAGCGTCTGGCCCATAGTAGGACACTGCTGCTACTGGAGTTTATGTGCTAAAAGTCATCTTGTTCTTTGGTACTTTCTCCTGACAGTCTAATATTTGAGCAATGTCAAACAGGTCTGCTGAAGTAACAGTAAGTTTAGATTAAGATTGGATGCAGTCTAACTACTGTTATTTTAATATTATTTTTTCCACCCCCTAGCTTGGTGATCCATCTATTTTCCCTGCGGTCATCGTGGAGCATGTTCCTAGTGCAGAACTCCTACATAACTACTCTGGGTTAACCTGTGTGGATGAACCTAGTGACATGATCACTGAGAACTCTCTGGACGTTGCAGAAGAGCAGATCATAGAAGATGATGATATCACCCTCACAGGTTGGCAATAAAAATACTTCTATGCCACATTTTTGCATCAAAATGGTTGTAGCTAATATGGAAAAAAGGCTTAGTGACAAAATCCAATAGGAAGCAAACTTACAGAAGTATTAAATGCTGTTAATTCTGTACAAGACAGAGAAAATGGCATTAATACTTTTAGCAGGTGGCTTGCAATTCCAGCTGCACAGCTGATAATGGTGAAGAGCTCCATCCATCAACAGATACTGAGTCCTGCTCAGAGCACCAACAAGATTTTTCTTTGCCCTTACATGGTTTGTTTGCTCTTATTTAGTGGTTAGTATGTAAATGTACATACCAAAAAGCAGGAATATGCAGTTTGAGTAGCTGTGCTGCTTTTAGCTTCCCAAGGGGATACAATTAGCCGTAAAATGTGCATGTTATCGTGACTTGCTGGTGTAAGTACGAACAGCACAGTATGCATTTTGGATCCTTAATAATCATTCATGCCTAAGCTACAGATGTTCTATGAATTCTGTTAAAAAAGGTAGCCCCAGTTCTCAAGAGCTCAGAGATGCCACATGTAAGAAACAACCCACTGCTGTGTTTGAAGCAGTTCTGCGGAACAAGCCTGGAAGGAGGAGTAGATACTTCACAGAGAGACCTGTTTCTGCATCTTCTTGCAGCCATTAGGCCTCACACCTGGAATTTCTCCAGGGCTGGAGACAGCTTGCTGGTTTCAATCATGCTTTGACATGATTTCCAAAGGCACAGTCTGATATGATCTTTTTCCACCAAAAGCAAAACAAAAACTCCACAAAACTTGACATGAGGAGCAGTTCACAGAGTAAACTGATGTGAGCTGTTCTCAGTAAATGGGTTTATCTGATGAAAATGGCTCCTTTTTTTTCTTAGTAGTGAATTAACTGTGAACAGACTGTGACCGTACACATCAGTTAGCTGATTATTCAAGAAGGTTGTACATACTTAAACATTATTTGAAGTTGAGACCTCTTGCCAACTATTCCCTTACTATTCACATTAATTACTCACACTGCAACTGGCATTGCCTCACACTGTTTGAGTTTTTCATAGCGGATTGTTTTATGAATCCATATTCACTGGAGTACATTGTGTGTGAATTTTTACTTGCATGAGTAATTGTGAAACTCCACTTTTGTGAATGCTCTTGTTAACATTTTTTTTGTGCTGGGTTTGCAAATTGCTGCCAGAGACTGAAAATATGTAATCCTTGTAACCAATGGTGTCCAAGGGTTTCTGGGATACTTTGGAAGCAGACAAGCACGGTATTGTTCCCATCATCCATTGTAGTCCAAGCACTCTGGCTTGGTTTAAAATCAAAGTCCTTAGAAAACCAGAGCTGCCACTTTGCAGAGGTTGTTGTTGTGAAGGAGATAGATGTTCTGTAATTCTGTTTTTTCACGCTCTCCATCCTGCTAGCTACTGCACATGCTGTAGGTGTCCCTGGACAGGGAAGTGGATGAAACCAGGCCAGGCAGGGACCAGCCCCGTTGCAGAAAGCTCCTGCTCAGGATGCAAGGCAGGCAGCTATCCAGCCTGACTCAAGTGGGGCAGAATTTGGGCCCCCAGGGGTGTGAAGGCACCCCACAGGAGGTGAGGACACTGAGGAAGGAGCTCTCTGCCTGCTGCATGCAAGCATCGGCTGTGGGCGCAGCTGCCTGCTTGAGCTGCAGGGCTGCCATGGAAGAGAGTGCAGCTTGCCATAGGCTGCCTCTGAAGTGGGGCTAATCACAACTGAAATTTCCCACCCACTTTTTATTCCAGCTGCTTTGTGTTTTTTTCCCCTTCCTACTTTGAAGTTCCCCTCTTGTTTTCTTTTCATGGGATGTTTGGCCTCAACAGTGAAATATGTTGTTTTGCTGTTTGAAGTTTGGACCATTCTTTTCAGTCACTTCCACATTATGCCTTTGAGAGAGGATCAGACCTACAAAGCCAGTACTAATTCCACATTAAAATATTCGTAAGGCTGAAGTTCACAGCAAAACGAAACTGAAACCACCATGATTTATGGCTAAACATTACCAAGAAACGGCTGCTTAATATGCAGGATTTGTAAAACTTACCAGTTTCTCATTACTCCTTCATGACTGTCATATGTTAAGCTTCTCTTTTCTCCTAAAATAACAGAAAATAACAGTAGGTCACCTGAAACTGAGGTAGTTAGTTTTTAGGGATCTATATGCAGAAAGATGGACACTGGTAGGTTTTGCCAGCTCTAGGATGTAGTTCCAGCCCTTCAATCCCACGGCTGTTGCGCATCAGTGATTATTTACCTGTAGTATAAATTATAACCTACAGAAAGAACAGCATCTGCTTCACATGAAACCCTGCTAAAAATCAGCTTTTTAGTTACATTACCACTCAGCCTGTATTTTTTTTTTTCTTCTCTTCAAAAGCACTCTTCCCTAGAAAAACTATGATGCCAGTTTGAGCCAGTATTACAGGATTTTGAATGATTAACTATCATGTAATAAAGGGTGATTAACGAGATAAAGTGGAGCATTTGGCTTTGAAGGAAGTTTTATTTTGAAAAGGAATACTGAAAATGTTTTTCTTCCTTTCTAAGAGGAATATTGAATTACTACTTTTTTTCTGAAAAATACAGGGAATAATGTTTTGTGCAAACTAAATTCTGGGCCAACTTGTCTTCTGCTCTTTATGTACCTTAGTGGTGTTTGCATAGGATGAGGGAAGTGGCTGCACTGAGACGGTTCGGGGGGTGAGATAGGAGGGACAGAATATTTGTGCTTAGTGTGAATAGTGAGCATGGAAGTGTGCATTTTCATGGATCAATCATGGTGCTTAGTAACCAGTTCAGGAGTTACTTTACACCATTTTGACGTTCAGCAGCATTTGGCTTGTACATTTTGTGATGCTCCAGCATTCATGGCATGCACCAAGCTGCTTGGGTATCAGAATGAAGGCAAAGAGACGTTGGGTACTGCAGGCCTGGACAAACTCATCAACTTTGGTGATCATTTATGATGTTACAAAGAAGTCCAAAGGAACAGTTTGGTTGAAACTGAACTTCATAGTGTTAATCCATAAGGATTTTGAGTTGACAAGATGCCAGTTGTAAAACAAACCCCAACAATGGGTATGGTTTCAGTTACTGTGTAAAGAAATTGTTCACTGCTGCACGTAGTATCTGGTTAAAAACAGCGAGAGCTTTTTCATACAGCTCCCCAATGAAATTATTTTCTTTGAAAACTGTAAAGCCTCATTTTAAAAAGAAAATGAAGGGTCATGTGTAAGTCTCCTGAAATACGTGGGTTCTTAAACTTGGTTTTCCAGTGTTTCCAGCAGTCAGCTGAGAGATGATACTGAAAAACAATTGCTTAAATTTCAGAGCAAGCTGTTCTGTGAAAGGGAGCTCTGTGTTTAATGGATCACTCTCTACTTGTAGCACCTTTAGATTTCTTCTGATGTTACTTTGAGACCGTGAGGCCCCTGGTTTTGTCTATAGTGAAACCAGCAGTGAATTTAAACACAGCTGTGACTAGCACAGCCCTTATCGTGGCCTGCACAGGGAGGCGCCTGCCTTGTCCACTCTCTGGAGCCACTTCCTCACCAGGGAAGCAGCAGGAGCAGGATGGGATCACCAGAAGCAGTGTGGAGCTTTCAGAAGGGCTGTAGGCAGGACTTGGTGCTGAGGTGGGGAGCTTCCAGCATGAGCCATAGTTTCTTTCTGAACCGGGTGAGTAGAGCAGAAAGCTGTGTTTGGGCAAGCCTCACGCCAACGGCAAGCGCTGCTGATTCATAGTGAACCCGGATTCACAGTAATTGGGCTGTAACTGACGTGCAGGTTCCGAGGGTTACACTTGTGGCTGGTTCAGATAAACAAGAACTTGTAAAGTACCCTGGGAAAAAAAATGAAGTTACTTTGGGGTGTGGTTTTCCCTTCCTCCCCCTTTCCTTCCTCCCTTTTTCTTAATTCTTCTCCCCCTGTTTTTCTTCCCCCATCTTTTTCCTTTCTCATTCCCCCCATTTCCTTTTTTCCTCTTCTTTCCTCCTTTTTTTTTTTTTAAAGTTTCCACCTATTTAATGTAACGTTAGGAACCTGATGCTTCCCAGAAGTCACCTCCCCCATTCTTTCAGCTCTGACATTGCCAAAGTGTAACAAATAAGCCACTTCATCCCAATTCTTCTTAGATTTGCGTCTGTATCATAACTACCAGTGATTGGAATACCTTTCTGCAACATTAAGGGAAAAGCTAAAATAGCAGACACTGACTTGCCTTTGGTAGCTGAGTTGGTTATCTGCAAGCACTGTCTGAAGTTGAGTAGTGTGAATTAGCACCTTGCTGTTAGTAGGGCAGAGAGGTGGTGCCTCACCTCCTCTGTGTGGTGCCCCACACCTTGTTTGTGTTAGCTCTCGAGTTCTTGTAATTCAACTTGCTAACTCAGCAATACCCCCCAAACTTATTTTCAGCCATTTTGTAAAACTAAATTGACTCTCTGTGTGATCAAAAAAGCATGAGGCCTGGCTTGTGCCAAGTGTTGGGGATTTGGATCATGAACCGGGGAGAGAGATGGGAGGAAGAGCCACAACGCTTGTTTTTTCAGCAACAGGGAAATACTGTTTTGTTTCAAACTACCTTGTGAAAAGTGAGGCTTGGAGGGTGTTAGGAAGAGCATTAATGTGGTTACAAACCTCATTTTTGCCATTTTGTGTCTGTGGATAGACAAGACCTTTGGTGTTCCTTATGTTTTTTGTGAGCATCAAATTATATTAATCCTATGCTTACATTATTTGTATGACTATTATAAGTTCCTTTCATTAGTCTTGGAAATGGATGGTCAACTTCTAGCTACACGGTATAACGGTGATGTAAAGCTGGTGACCTCTCCCTCACCTGACAATATTCAGAGTGAAGAACTAACACAGCTCCGTCACTTCAGCACCTGAAAGCAAGCAGGCAGGTTTGCTCCTCATACAGCTCTTACTGGGGAAGGAGCAAACAGTTGCTGCTGTCTCTTCCCTGCCTACAGCACTGAGGACCAGGGAGTACCACTGCTGGTTTTTAAGTTGTATGTGGCAGCATAAACTAACCCCACTCCATGGCTTTGGCTGAGCTGCATCATGGTGGGTTACCTTCCTGACCATTCAAAGCATGCCAGAGCTAATGACAGGTGCTTTGGCAGTGCTGTATGCCTGTTTTAGGGTGACATCCTTATTGTGGTCTTTGTTATGCTGGTAGATGATATGGAAGGTTCTCATCCAGATAAAGTGGAACAAGAAGTGATCAGGTCAGTGCTTCTAAGCCAAGCATGAGCGTGCCTGCAGTCTGCCTGGGCTGTGCTTGGTTCAGTCTCCTCCTCAGCTGGCCAGGCACTCCCTAAGGATTGCAGATCCTTAACTATCTGAATGTCTGTGCAGGATGGGGAGTGGAGGAGGGCCTGTAGGCAACAGGGCAAGTTGTTGTGTGGGTCAGGGGTTCCCAATGCTTGTCTACTTTATTCTGTCTTAGGCTGAGCCTCTGATTCTTGGGGCATGGTAGGACTAATGTTGAGGAAAAATCCAGAAGGTAAGGATGAGCCTTCTCCTGAGCTCTGTGTGCTGCCTGTAACTCACAGCCGGGTGGAGGAGGTAGGACTGATGTGTGACAGTCTGCATTCATCTTTACCCTCTCCTACTGATAGGATTGCTGGAGTTGTAAACACTTGGGGTGAAACTGTTGTTGCTTGGTTGTTGTTTTTTGCTTGTTTGATTGTTTAGTGTTGTTTTGGTTGGGTTTTTTTTAAGTGCAGAGATAAACCTCTTACTTTTACATGAAGAAGTGTTCCAGGGTTGTTGTGTGTTGTGTTTTATGGTGCATTTTTGCTTGCTCTGTCTGTCTGTTTCCTTTCTTTTTTCCTTTCTTCTTTTTTTTCTTCTTGTTTTTTGTGAGTGCCCCATCCCAAATTCCTCCAAGCTAAGCAGGGAGAGAGGGCATGAAGTTGACTCATGACCAGGCTGAGACAGTAACTGATGTGCCTTAGGGAGGCAAATATCAATGCAGCCCTTTGTGCGGCTTGATAGATGCAAGTGAATTCCTCAGTGTGGCTTCAGTTTGGTGTCAGAGGATAAGGAAGCCTGGCCCATGCATTGCTGTCCAACAAAGATTAACTTCTAAAAGAATGTGTTGAACACTCCCGAAGTTTTATGGTATCAGAACTAACTCATATCTAACTTAATTGTCATGCTACATCTATACTGAAAAAAGTCCTCTGGTTTGGTACTTCTTCTCTCAAATCAGTGTTATCTTCTTGGACAGCTGTTATCTTGCAAAATGATATTTTATTGGGTGGTTTTGGTGTGTAGCTTCAGATGACCTTAATTGTGAATTGGTGCTCAAGAGCTTTGGATTTGTCTAAAGGACACCATCGTAAAATTGATGAGGGATTGTCCAGTAGTCAGACTTTTTGAACAGTTTGCCAGCCCTCTGTATTGCTTTTTATGGTTTATGTCTGCTTTCTAATGTGATCCTGGAGCCTGCACTATTAGCCCTACCTGTAATCCCCATGGATTTGAATGGTTTAGGATTCAGTTACACATCCAGATCATATGCTCTCTAATAAAAATTGTGGAATATTTTCTGATCTGTCCTCCAAGCTAAATGACAGGATACTTTTGGTGAGCGTCTCTTAATTATGGAATTCACTTCCTTTGGACCACCATAAGAAGAAATCAGCAATATTAGTTTTTTTTAAAAAATACTGTGTGAATTATTGTTTGTAGTAGTGATGTTTCTTAGGGTTCATGTGTGTTGTGTTTTACTGCATGTGCTTGATCAGGAAAGGGGAGGAGGTAAAAAGATGAGGCAGAAAAAAAGGTTTGTGTTGGTTTTGGTTTTATTTTTTAATTCACACAATCTAAAAAATGTAGTGTATTAAATAAGGAAATTCTTGCAGTGTTCATTTTCTCCCCAGCAAACCTGTTACTGCTCAGCTAGTTGAAGGTCATGTTTGCCACTTATTTTTCCCTGAAAATGAAATAGGAGTAAATACCATGTTAAGCTTTAAGTCCAGTTTGTAGCTTGTTCAGAGTTAATTTTTCTCTCTTGCTTTTAGTTGAAGCATCTTGTCATAATGGAGATGAGACAATGGAAACAATCGAGGCTGCTGAAGCACTTCTCAATATGGATTCCCCTGGTCCTATGTTGGATGACAAAAGAATAAGTAAGTTTTTTATGAAAGCAAATCTAATCTGTATTTGCCTTGCTTAGTTGTGAAAGAAAGAGGGATTCGGTGCACCATGGTTACATGGAATTGCTAAGATTATTTTGTTTCCAAGTGGCCTTGTGTGCATAGTTTGGCTAACAGAAATCCAGTGTTGTAGACAATGATTTAATTGCTTAGCCAGAGTTGAACAGGTAAGGAAAGACGCAAAAAACCCAGAAAACAAGCACAAACAGCCTCTAAAAGTCCTTGTGGCTCTGTGAAAATATCCCAATTGTCCCTTTCTCTTAAGCAACTATGTTTGATGCAACTGAAGATGATGATATCGTGTCTCCTATTACGCACGTGTCAGTCACATTTGATGGGATCCCTGACGTGGTGGCAGTTCACCAAGCCCCAGACCCTTATGCTGAATCACCAGAGACTCCAGAACTTGAACAACCAAAGAAGAAAAAAGGTAAGATGCTATTGGAGAACAGCGGTACGGAGTAGGAGAGCAGTGGGTGGCATGCTTGCCTCCCCTGGGGGTGTCTGGAACCATTCTGGGTGTCAAAATGACTGAGCTAGAAATTTCTCAGCTAGCAGTACAGAGGAAATGTTTTCTTACTGGGTAGTGTAAGCACAGATGCTAGTGCTTAGATGCTAATGATGCTGGAGAGGTAGCAAAGATGGCCTGTCTCACAGGAAACATGAACCTCTGCTTGTTCCTGTTTGTAGTTTCTTCTTCAGAGCAGAATTGCAGTTAGAATCATAGAATCATAGAATAGTTAGGGTTGGAAAGGACCTTAAGATCATCAAGTTCCAACCACCCTGCCATGGGCAGGGACACCTCGCTCTAAACCATATCACCCAAGGCCTCGTCCAGCCTGGCCTTGAACACTGCCAGGTATGAAGCATTCACAACCTCCCTGGACAACCCATTCCAGTGCCTCACCACCCTAACAGGAAAGAATTTCCTCCTTATATCCAATCTAAACTTCCCCTGTTTAAGTTTTAACCCATTACCCCTTGTCCTGTCACTACAGTCCCTAATGAAGAGTCCATCCCCAGCATCCCTATAGGCCCCCTTCAGATACTGGAAGGCTGCTATGAGGTCTCCACGCAGCCTTCTCTTCTCCAGGCTGAACAGCCCCAACTTTCTCAGCCGATCTTCATATGGGAGGTGCTCCAGTCCCCTGATCATTCTCGTGGCCCTCCTCTGGACTTGTTCCAACAGGTCCATGTCCTGTTCAAGCTATAGAACTTTTGTTACTATGAGGGCTACTTTAATTAGCTCTTATTTAGCTTCAAGTAAGAATATGGAATGTGGATGACAGGTTTTTTAGCTTTTCTTAAATACGAGTGATGTCATTTTAGGTGGTTTTAAAGTAGCTGCATGTTGTAGTAAGCATTAGTTCCATTTATGGTAGATAACATTTACACAGCATCCACTGAGTGATGCCCCATTGGAGCTGGTACTGTGCCAGGCGGTAACGAAGTGGTGTTAGTCAGACCTTCTGCTCCTGTTTTCCTACCCTGCTCCAGCATGGATCCCACCTGAAGTCCTGAAACTGTTGTCTGCAGCTAGACAGGGTATGCAGGGCCAGGAGATGTGAGGTGCTGTTACAACAGATTTCTAATAAAAGAAGAAATCAACAGAGTTATGTTTCTGGAGCTCATCCTGGGACTGAATCAGAGCACGAGGACCTTGACAGGTTCCCCTGTGAAATGAAAGCATTCCAGAACAGGGTTCCTGCTACCCAACCATACTCCTACTGAATGAGAGTGCATTTTTACTGCTGCTTTTGCTGCTGCTTCTAAACATCAGGAGTCTCTACTCCCTAAGAGCGAGCACACTGGCCTGTGGAAATCTTGGGGAAGCCCCAGAGCCCCGTGTGTGTCACAAGGTCTGGCAGGATGGGTGTGGGTTGGTAAATCTCCCATTCCCCTAAGAAAGCTGAACTGAAACTGCTGTGGAGGAGAGCTTTACCAGCAGCTGCCCCGAGAGTGCTGCTGGGGAAGCTACTGTGCTGTGTGCGGTACTGTGAGGTAACCACTGTAACAGGGTTTTAAACTGTTCTTTTGGGGTTTTCTTTTCTGCTTCTTTTTAATCACACAATCAGCTAGGTTGGAAAAGACCTTTAAGATCATCAAATTCAACCTTAACCCCAGGACTGCCAAGTCCACCACTAAACAAGGAGCTGCTGTCTGCCACGTATTTAACCTCTTTGGCTTGATGCTTTCATACCCTCTTCTGTGTTGTGCTTTCTCCCACTCCTTCCTCCTCCCTAGCTGTAGGTTAGAAAACTGGTTGCTTCACAGCAAATGTGCGTGTTTCTTTTTGACTGTTACATCAGATAGAAAATATACTAGAAGAGATGCATCAGCTTAGTGTTTCAGTAACAACTAGTCACCAAAGTTGAGACTTCATGAGGTAGATGGTACGGTCTGAGTGATGTTGAAGTGTTACTTCAGCATATCCAGGAATTTGTAAGACACTGGTGTGCCAACAGTTGCTGCAAAATGTTACTGTTTTTTGTAGTGCTCTCTAGGATGACATTCAGTGTGTGGGTGAGGTTCTTTTTGTTGGTTGTTTATTTTCTTCCTATTTTATTTTCGTAAGTGCAGTCTCTTTCCGTTCCTTCCATCAGTTTTGTGGCACAGCAAAGGACCACAGTCATTTAGCCCTATCCATACCACTCATGATTTTATAGACTTCTAGCATAATATAACCCATGAGCTAAACTTACAGGGTTGCACTGTGCAGATTGTTGCCAGCTAAGTGAGCCAGAATGGCGTTGCCAAGTAGAGCTCCTCCAAGAAAATGTTCTCTAGAAGTGACAGGGTGATTTCACTTCCTTTCCTTGTGGCCTTATTGCTGCAGCAGGAGAGCTGTATCCACCCATCTGTGCCACTCCAAACCCATGTTCAGCGTGATGTTTGCACTCATGAATGTCTGAGCACTGAGCTGCTGAACTACAGGGCAGAAAGAGAGGATAAACAGAGCAATGCGAGAAGAAACTACTTGGAAATTTGCTATGCTAATACCTTTAGTCTCATTTTTGCTATGGACGGCACCTGGTAGTAGGTGGTCACAAAAGTTATGTAGACATTATATTTAGATACACACTGTTCATTAGGGGTTTACATTTTATTTTTCTTTTTGTTAGCAAACCCCACTGAAAACAGTGGTATGAAATATTTAATCAGGGTGAGCATCTCGCTGTCTACATATCACATTAAGTTGTAGCATGAATTTCTAACCTGACATGTTTTTGCACCCATGGAAATAGGAAAGTGGAAATACCACTTATAAATTCATTTGGCTATGTAAAAATCGCAGTAGTCCCACCTTAAGGCTTGGCCATTGCATGTACTTACCCTTCCTCTTTGTAAAAGTCTCTCCTAAAAAGGAATATAGTGGTGTACTTTGAAAGGTAACAAAGTCACGCTCTGCCCAACCAAAGGAGGAAGTGTGCTAATGCTTAATGTGCTTTCAGAAAGTATCTTCTTTTAAACAAAGGAAACTGTATGTTGTGTGTCTCTGTTCCCTGTGGTTTTGATGGTGTCAGCAGCTGGAGATTATAGCTCACAGTGTAGTTTGAAGCCATCATCTTAAGTACCTCTAGGCCAAATACAGAGCAGTAACATCAATACCTTTCTGTAAATGAGTTTCACATTCTTTGCTGATTTCTGATTTTCTAGGGGTTTCTGGTAGAGAATTGTCCAAATGAGGTGTTCTGAAGTAGGGTAGGCTGAAATGAGAAAGCCTGGAATTGCTGGAGTAGTATTCATGTTAGTAGCCTAGGTTATCCCTAATCAGAAATGCATAAAGTATATGTGATCAGTACTTAGTCATGAGCTAGTTGAGCCCTTATGCACTTCTTTTCTTTTAAGATGTGATCTTATTTGGACACAAGGTAATTAATGACATCAAAATAACACTCTCCACTCCTTAATGGCATACATTTACACCCGTGCAAGAGGGGAAACAAGGTGAGCATCCAAGAGTCTTCCAATGACACCTCTCTGAGGGGAGAAAACTGCTTAACCAAAGTTACCCTCAGGGGCTACTTGCTCAGTAGAAGCTGATCTATACAAGAGTGACTTCATCTAGACATTGTAGGGAAACCAGACATTTCCACAGTCAGTACTGGTGAGTGGAACAAAGCTGCTAAAAACATACTAGTTTCTTAGCCTTTCATATGGTGATATATGGAAGAAGAATAGTGTGGTAGGATTTGCTCCCCCCTCCCATATTCATTGAAATCAAGGAAGACATTACTGTCCAAGACAGTCGTTGGACTTTGTGTCCCATCTTCAGTCATGAAACCTGTCAGATTAGCAGACAGTGCAGGCTGGCACTGAGCATTTTTTTCAGAGATAGTAAAAAAGCCTCTCTGCAGCAGGATCATTTTGTTATTAAAATAGCCTCTAAAACCAAAACCAAAGTGGAACTTCATAGTGCACAGGATTGCACAGGCCTATTGGTCTTGCCTCAGAACATCAACTCTTTGAAAACACAATAAATAGAGAAAAAGAAAAATATTTTTTCTTTAGATCTTTAATTCTGACCATATGCTATTTAGATTAGAAATATGTTCCTCTGAGTCCTGTGTCTGCTTGGTCTTTTCTGCCTCTCAAAAGAGCAAAGGTAGTACGTGAATAATTTAGGTGTTATCAATGTACAAAAACCTGCAAAACCTGATAAATTTTTATATCATAAGAAAGCTCTGAAAGTTCCTGATTAATTACATTACCTGTAAAAGTTGCCATTGCAGGGAATGAGAACTAATGAAGGAGTAGGTTCAACATTTTATACTGAAAAATGCTTTGGCATGACTTACATTTTTTCTCCAGTTATGTTTAGGTAGTTGATTCCTCAACATTTTTAAATGCATATGCTTCATTCTTGTCATCAGTTGTAACTAACTTCTATCAGTCTTCCTCACCAGAAACAAGCACCGTGCTTACGACTTTAAAAACTGGCATTTTTCAGAGCCCATTACTGGTTCTGCTGGTTTTAACAAACAAATAACTGACTTTACCTGTAGCCACTGTTGAGAAAGGTGTCTTCTACCCATTTCTCAAAACAAGTGAAAAATGTTTTCTTCACATGACAGTGTAGGTTGCTGCTGTCAGTGGACACCTGCAAGCTATGAAACAAGCAGTCTTGTTTTATCCCAAAATTCCATGTTGTTAATGAGTGAACAAGAGTGTACTCTGTATTTTATCTAGTTTTCCTGTTTAAACTCTTGCTTACGGTTAACAGCTTACTCTTTTTAACTCATCGTTTTTAAGCATTCTTAGGAGTACTTAAAAAGCCACAGAAATTTCCAAGGGACATGGACTTTGGAGAAGTGAGCATAATCTTTACCAGAAGTACACTGAGCATACAGGGCCCAATCCTGCTGTAGAAACTCATGTTCAGCATAGAATGGAGCACTTAACTTACTAGAAATGGAATCGTCTTTGAATTGGGAAAACAGATCTTTTTCCTTTTTAGGTTCTTGTTCTTTTTATTTCCCTTTTTTGTTTTTAAGCTGCAGTTGACTTACTAGTGGTTTATTTCAGGGAAGAAGTCGAGACCACCTCGTCCTGAGTCCCCTACTACAACTCCAAACATATGTGTGAAAAAGAGAAACAGAGATGGAAAGGGTAAGTTGAAGAGCTGTCCCTGAAGTTTTTAAAAGAACATTGTTTCTGAGGAACCACACTCTCAGGGTGTAAAACCAGGTCTCATGCACAAGGGTGTTTAACATCTCTTCTTAAGGCAAGTAAATAACGAGTGCACAAGGTTTCCTGATGCAATACCCAGTTCCTAGGCAGAATAACATACTTGTCAGTTTATTTGCCGGGATTCTTCAACCCCTGCAGAGGCTGCTGTGTTCTGAGTGAAGTCTTGGGGCATGCTTTGCATTGTATTAGTGTTTCTTGGGCTGTGGTTATTTTGACAGATGATCTTTGGAAATGTTTTCCATCTGTGTGTGTCTAATTCTGTATGAGGAGCTCATCAAGGCTGCCAGCTGGCAGCTGGAAGTACCAAGGCCTGAATTTTGAGGAAAGTTACGACGTAGCTTGAGGACTTTGGCAGAAAACTTGGGGGTTTGATACTTTCATTCCTCCTGTGTTTAAAAGGAGGAAAGAAAATAAATACCACATAACTGATACAATAAATCATTTCCTCCAGACTGAACTGTTCAGTGCTGCCTGCCAGTTTTGTCTACAACTTGGTTGCTTTGCTGTGGGGTCCAGCACCCACACTTGTGCCTGGGCTGGCATCTGAATGGCAGCCTTATGCCCTGGCACCCACGAAGTTATGCTGTGCTTCAGAGAGGCAGGAGCTGGAAACGTGCCTCCCGTGTGTCACCACAGGTGCCTGCATGCATGCCTGAGGGCTGATGTGCTTGCATGCGTGAAGTACATGCCAGGATAGAAGCCCAGCCAGACTTGGAAGGTGGTGGCATAAGACATCAGACTCTCCTGAATCAGAAAAATCACTACACTGACAAATGAGTTTGGGCTTTTTTTTTTCTATTGCAGAAGGATTTTCTGCAGTAACAGAAAAAAATGAAAACCCTGTTGGCAAGCAGTAAATATCTAACAGGTTAATGGAATTCTGAGTACGCATTGCTGTTTTGTTTTGTTGTTTTTAATTGAAACCAGATTTTTAAGTAAAAATGAAACGGAAGTATCAGAGGAACCTCTCAGTAGTGCTCAAATGAAATAATAGAGAATATTAAAGCAGCTAGCCACAAAACTAAAAGGCAGAAAAGAGTGTAATGTTTTTGTTGATGATAGCAAAGCTGCACCATTTTTCACATTTGTCCATTGTTACAAAATTGTTGATTCAGAAGGAAGTAAAAAGAAGCACGTTGCCTGAAACTGTTGCCTGTTACGGAAAATCTACAGCAAAAGTACTTGGTTTGCGTTTTGAGGAATATAGAATTAAAATAAAAGGGATGTTAATATAACTAGCCATGGGAGGAAAGCAGCTAGAAAACCATAAGAGTTGCCTGTCTTTCAGTATTCACAATGTTCCCCTAAAGGGAACATGTATGCCAAAGTACCAAGCAATCCGTAGAATTATTTGATGTGAGGCATGGAGAAGGCTGAGTTTTCTACCTATTTCTTTTACCACTGTGTCTTGGGGGCGTTAAAAATCCTACCTGAGTAAGGCAGACCTGTTTTTTCACAGACAGTCCTCTTCACAATGGTTTTTCAGTGGCTAAGCAGTGACAGATTTTCAGCTTGCCTTGATGTAGCTGAGCATTTTTAGTCTAGACTGCAACAAAAGCACCCTGGATTAGACAGTAAGTGGCTGGGAATGCTCTCACTCCTGGCTGACATTGTGTCTTGCCTGAACAGTCTTAACCTTTGCCTTTGGGGTATCCAAAGGCAAACAGGCTGACTGTTTTATGCAAGCAGGGAGATGTATGCTGCAAAGGCAGTGTGTTTTCTCTAGGGGTGTTCACTTTTCAAGTTCCCACCTGCTGAAGGAGTTGCTAACTCTTTGTACTGCCATGCTGATGACTTTGCTGAAAATTCGCAGAGTACGTATTATGGTGCAGGAGTCTGGGTGGTTTAATGTGTGAGACCCCTCTGGTTGAAAAGAGTTGAGACGGGTGGTTATTACAGTTGAAAAAACTACTGGGTTAAATTGAAGCTGACAGAGAAGAGATTCTGTACCCTCTGATGCATCGGCATCCTTCTTGTGAACCTTCAGAAATCTCCACACACTGTCCTTGCTGTGTTTTTGCACAGCTACTTGTAGGAGATGATACTTTCATACAAGAAGTTTCTTCTTCCTTTCTCAGACTTAACAGCATTTCACTAAGAAGCTTATGTGCAGCTTCAAGCATCCAAAAGAGCATCAAACAGCAAAAGCCTTTAAAAAAACCCAGGAAAATGGGTCTAATTAGTTGTATGAGTTTAGGTTCCTTAAATGTGCTTTTAGGAGAAAAAAAAAGAATATGCAAATTTTGTACTAGTTTTAAGTATTCATAATCTATGATTTTAATACTGTTTCTTTATACGTGGTAAACACCAAGCAGATGTGATGCATTTCCATATATAAATGTTTGTGCCTGCTTGTTTGTAAAGTGAAATTTGCATGTTTGCTACCAGCAAGTGCAAGTGCTCACTGGTTTAGAAAAGAAAATAATCTGGTTTTGAAGCTTATTCTTGGAGGTTTGCCAACCTCAACATATGCCACTGGTTATGAAATCATAGAGTGACAGTTTGGAAGGGACCTCAGGGATCATCTGGTCCAACCTTTCTAGGCAAAGCATGACCTAGACTAGATGTGCCAGCACCTTGTCCAGCCAAACCTTAGAAGTGCTCAGTGTTGAGAAATCCACCCCTTCCCTGGGGAGATGCTTCCAATGGCTGATTGTTCTCTTATGTCCAATTAGAATCTCCCAAGCCAATTGGAATCCCCATATGATTTCCCCATGTAAATCTAATAGTTAAAAGTAAGGATTTCCTTTAGCCTTTTAAAGATTATTACACCTCAATGAACAAAGTATTTCAGCAGGGGCTTAATTTCCAGCATTTTCAGAGGATGGATCTAAACACATTCCCATTTAAGGTAAAGCAATAGTGGCTGCTTCTGGATTAAGCAGAAGGGAACTGTACACGTAGGTGACTAATACTGTCTGACATTGGTGATTGGAACAGGACTGACTGTAGGCTGACTTGGTGACTGACTCTCTAGGTTAGAACATTGCTAGTGTGTTAGGGCACCCAGATTATAATAAAAAGAATCCCTTCCCATGCCCTTTCGTCACTATTTCCTAGTCCTGATGGTATCTTGATGATGTCTATTTAGATGTCTATTTCAAAATATATCAGCTTCTTTTTTTTTTTAGATTATTTACATAACAATGTAATATGTAATGTGATACATAAAAAAATATAGTCAACTAATGTTTCTTTTTTCTTTTTTTTTTTTTTAATTCCCTGTCCTGAAATGCTTTCATTTTAGGAAATACAATTTATCTCTGGGAGTTTTTACTAGCACTGCTCCAGGACAAAGCTACATGTCCTAAATATATCAAATGGACTCAAAGAGAGAAGGGCATTTTCAAACTGGTTGATTCCAAGGCTGTGTCCAGGTTGTGGGGAAAACATAAAAACAAACCTGACATGAATTATGAAACAATGGGTAGAGCTCTCAGGTATGTGCATTTTCAATAATGACTGCTTCTGTTGCCTTAGTGTTTGCATGCATTAGATGCCTCATCTAATTTGTAAGGACAGAAAAGAGTTAGTATTCTATCCCTTCACCTCAGTGTGTACAATTTCAAACTGTCATGTTAACTTGTAAATAAAACTCAAGTAGATCTCTCCTGTCCTATTCCCTTTGCTTTGTTGTAGCAGAAATGTCTGCCTGTGCTGACTGGTGAATAAGCTTGAATTCAGGTAACTGAAAGAACTGTATGAGTCAAGAGGAGAATTGCAAGTTTCATGCAACTTTTAAAGAGTTGATAGCAGAGATGCCAAGTCACGTAATTCTTCTCTTTCTCCTCAGTTGTCTGAGGTTGAAATTAAAAGGTGACAAGAAATACCAGTAAAAATATTGTTTGAAGAAAAAAAAAAACACACTTAAGTTGGCCATTCCTTTGTAATTAAGAAACCAGGCACTTAAAATATTGTTTAATTGTTACTGCTGGTCTTATTTTCTGGGGGGTTTGCTGCCTATTCTGTTGCTGTTAGGGGTTTGGCAGAAAACACTGTATAACTTTGATGTGTGTACGTTTCAAACAGATACTATTACCAAAGAGGAATACTGGCTAAAGTGGAAGGTCAGCGCCTAGTATATCAATTTAAAGAAATGCCAAAAGATCTCATCTATATAGATGATGAAGATCCTAGTCCTAGCACTGAATCATCAGATTCAACTCTGCTCCCAACTGCTGTGGCCAGTAGAAACCAGTCGAGCAGATCTAGAGCATCTGCAAATGCAGGAACAAAGGGAGGATCAACCACCGTGGTAAAAACAGGGAGTTCAAAGCCTGTGAAGCTGAAGGAGCAAGTAGAAGTTGCACAGCAGCAGACATCCAGCTCCACTTCAGAAGTTTCAAGGACAACGCAGTCTCCACAGCCAGTGCAACACACTCAGCTTTTTCGGACAGTTCAAGTAATGCAGCCATTGCAGCCCATCACGGAAGAACAGGCACCTGCAACCAGTAATGTTCCAGATGAAGCGTTAAATCCCTCGGTTCAGAATGTAAGGTAAGAAAATGCACAGAAATGAATGTATGAATGATAATAAATTTGGCTAGATAGACTGGATTCTTGGCTATGCTTCCAAAAAATCCTCCTCCTCCAGTTTGGCTGAAGTGAAGCAGTGTCTTTGTGGCTGATCCTAGGAATTGGGAGTGACTACATCACACTGCGGTGTGTACACTTGTAAGTGCTCTGCCTTTGGTGGAGGGAAGTGCATCTTTCTTGTGGTGTTAGGCCTGATACAAATCCTTTTAGAGAGGAAAACTATACAACTTCTCTTTCACATTGGTATTGTCAGTTCTGTCCCGCAGCAGAGGCAGTGTTTCCTGTTGTCTTCATGTTTGCATTATACACAGTGGGTCTGCCTGAGGCCTTAAAAAAAAAATTCCCTTTCTGCTTCTTAAGAATTTTTCTTCTGAAGAATTTTTTTGTCATCTCTTTCATCTTTTATATTGTCCCCAGCTACAAGGGAAAACTCCCTGTTACCTGCTCCAGCATTTGTTGCTGTTAACAAGAGCATGTTCTTTTGAATTTAGAAAACAATTAATAGAATAATCTCATGAGAGGTGTGTATCTGCAGAGTATTTTGGGAGACAGTCATGCTTCCATGGTTAATTTCTAAGTCAGTTGGCTAACACTACACGGCCTTTAAGCATCATAGAATCATAGAATGGTTTGTGTTGGAAAGGACCTTAAGATCATTCCAACTTCCCCGCCATGGGCAGGGGGCCTCACACTAGACCATGTTCCTGAGGACTCCTTTGCACCTACCCATTAGTAGCAGCATCCTAATTGAAAAGGCTTTAAAAACAATTACTTAATCATGGTTTTAGCCTTGCTTGAGGCATCCCCTGATGGAGCTTTTTCATCTCCACTGACTACAAAAAACTTAAACCAAACAAATATTCTTGTAATCAAGGCCCCTCACAGGAATGTCAGTTATATAAAGCAATTCTGGACCTTAAAGCTGTTGCAAAAAAGCTTCAGGGTATAATTCAGGAGCTGCACGTTCTCAGTGAAACATTGCTTTCTTGAGATTTGCTGTGGTAACATCAGTGTTACAGTGGTTACCCATTTGTTCTGCAAAATGGCAGTAATGCTGTTTCCTGACCCATTCCTCTAGTCTTTCCTTTGAAAATTACATCCAGAGGCACCAATAGATTTGGAGTGGTACTGACATTCTGAGGTTAACCATGCAGTTCTGTCAGAGAGGAGTAAATAGTGATGCTAATGAGAGCAAATAATTCCTTCTTTTCCAAAGAGTAAGTTTTGCTCTCATCTCTGCTAGAGCAATGCTGTAAAAGCCAGTCAGTTATTAAAACTCTAGTTACATAAAAGGAAAATCCAGACTAGCAATAACAGCTAGGCTTTTCAGAAGAACTGAAAGAAGAACTGAAACTGTTTAGATCCGCCTTCAGTGACTGATATAATAGAATCAATAAGAAATGCTTTAGGGTATAACCAAATAGTGGAGGAGGCTGAAGTCTTATATATAGGAAATGACAACCCGAGACTGCAGCTTCAATCAAGAAAGTTACACTGTCTTTTCTTTCCCTGGGTTAAAAACCACCAAACCTTAAAATTATGCCAGGCCTTCCTAGTTTGAATCCCACTATTTTTTATTTCCTTAAAAATTATGAAATGGTTTCATTCACTCTGCAGCATTAAAAACCCGCACTGAAAAGAGTAATTCATTGGTTAGTAAAGGCTGCAAGGGAATAAATATATTGGCAAAAATATTTTTCATAGTTACTGATAGGCACTGTAATACAAAGTGGAGAGTTACCATTTTTAAGTAGACAGTATCTGTTTTCATTTGTCTTTTAATTCTAAAATGTATGTTTTGCAATCAAATGGTGTTTTGCTTATTGTTCAAACCAACTAGAATTAGTTCAGGATGCACATGGAGGGGAGGATTATATTTGTTCAGAAGTTTATGTAAAAGATAATTACAAAGAATTTGACACCCTCCCCCCAAAAAAAAATATTTTGGAATAAATTTAGAAAATTAACAAAAATCTGCATGAAAATGGTGTCGCGTAAGTTTTTAAAGCTGAGGAATGGAACTGCTCTGTAGAGTGCAGTCCTACAGTTTCAGGTTTGGTGAGGGATTTAATTACTTGTAAAAATTGATTAGGGCAATGTACTGAAAGGAAACAAGTACAGATGTAATCGAAGCTATACAGTGCCATTTAACTCAGTAGAATAATGCTATTAAACATTAATAGGGGGAAAGTTCAGCAATTTGCTGAGTTAAATAGCTGTAAGCTAGACCTGCACTGGATTACAGAGCAAAATCAGAATCAATAATACAGATGGTATAAAAAATGGTAACAACACACAGAAGTATCTGTAAGACATAATAAGGCAGACAGTAAGTCCAGCCTAACATTTGGAAAGCTGCTCAGTGACATGATGACATCCAGTTATTGCATTTTGGTATTTCACAATCATACCTTGGGCAATCAGCTAAGGGGGAAAAGAAAAAGTAGAGGTGATATGTGTGAAGTTCAAATGAAGTAAAAGCCTGAAGGATTTGGTGTTGTGTCTCTTCTAATCTTGTTTGCAACTTAAAACAACATTCTCTGAAGGCTTCAATTGCACTTTCTTTGGCCAAGATAACAAAGTGAAGGGGAGAACAAAAGATCCATTGGATGTTTTAAGTACAGTTTGTAATCACTGAATGGTGTAGAGTGGTGCTAATTAAGAAAGAATGTACTGAGGTGGCTAAGCAGTTAGAGTGAAAATAAAGACCGCAAGCCAGATAGTTTTGGTCAGGATGAGCCAAGCTGCAAACCAAGGTGCCGCTGAGTCCTGTGCAGTGGTCACTGCCAGTTCCAGGCTCCAAAAATGCAATTTATGCCAGATAAAGATGAGAATTTCTGCTCTGTTTCAAAATGCAAACTTCCAATAGCCTCGTGCGGTAGATGGTATACTGAATGGCTTTGTGAGCATATGTTTTAAGTCTTGTTTTATAATAAGGCTAAAACAAAGGAACAGGATTTGCGGCTTATTTATTCAAACATCTATAAGTCTCTAGCAGCTGAATGTGTTTGTGTCACTTTCTGATTTGCAGCAGTGGGGCTTCCGTAATGGCTGAAATGACTTGAAAATGTACAGCAGGTATGATTGTCGTTACAGAGTAAGAGCTGGCAAACCTGAGTTAGCACTGTGGTTGGAGTAATTTTATAGTGATTTTATAGGGAAGCATAAGGACAAATAGCAGCATTGGTTGCCAGATGGGTTGGGGCATGTAGCGACCAGGGTTTGAGAATGATGCTCTGGAGGTTTTTCTGATGCATACTGGTTAGTGGTTGCACTCTGCCTTGAAGCATGAACATCTTGGACCCATACAATTTGTTTTATGCAGTGCAGTTTCTAAAGTTTTATTCATACACATGTTCTTCATGGAAATAAATGGTCTTCCCTCTGCAGCAATTTGCTTCTGTTGTGTTGTGAGAAGAAAACAATATAAACAAAATATTGAGGATTTCTGAGGTCAGAACAATTGGTTTCTTAACCATATCCTTCAGGAAAGAAGTCTGAACGTGCAACTTCTCTGCTGAGGGACTTGGTAAAAGAATCGTGTTTGAGGAATGTTGTCAAGGGCTTTTGTCACCATCCCTCCCCTGCCATAGGCAGCATTGCCTGGTAAGATCTACTCCCAGATCATTGCTGGGAGAGCATGGCAGCCTCTCCCCTTTGCGTTTCTCAAAGAAAGGGGCTTGCCAGTGAAAATCAGGAGTTGGCTTTTCAAAGGAGACAAGCAGTGGCTTCATTTATAGCTGCAGAAAGCTTCTGCAGAGTTTTGTGTACTTCAAGGGGAGTGTGGTGTCTTACTTAGAAGTGGAAGGTTCTGGGCTTGGTGGGCTTTCTGTACAAGTTTTGATGCTGCTGTATACAGAGGAGACAAGGAGGAGCATTCCTCACCAGGGATAGATGCCTCTTCTTCAGCCCCAGTGCTTAAACAGAAAGGCTGTGATGTGGTGCTAACCCAGGCTTGGGAAACACGAGCATGGTCAGGTCATACAAATTGGGTTTTGCTGACTCAGGAAGACATCTAGTATCACCAGTGGGAATATTGGGAATTGCAGACTCACTGCTGTTCCACAGATATAACTGCTCTGGCTCAGTGAATACAAGCACAGTCACTGCAGTCTCCAGTTGTTTAACTGGGAGCTTAATTTGGCACCACATGTTTCCAGTAATAAGACAAAACCAAAAATGCCTCTCTGGATGAGCATTTTATTTCTAACTTTTCCCAATGAGCCATTATTTTTAAGGAAGAAAAAAAAGTATCTTTGAATTTAGCACTTGTGAAATGGTTCTGTTTAAACCAGAATAACTGACAAGTTTAACCAGAGTATCTGGTTTAGTGATTAGCTTGGAATTCAGAGGCACCAAAGTAGTCCTGGGATTCAGCTCCATGTTCAGTGGGTCATTCTGAGAGTAAAGGACATCCTTTCTGTTCCTCCAGAAAGTGTTCTGCTCCTGTAAGGCTAGGGACTTCTCTAGGACATCATTCAGGGCTCTAAGGTGCCTGCATTTGGGCAATTAAATTTCTCCCTTAAATGATTAGGGCTGCAGATAAAGAGATGCATTTTCATTTACCTTCAATCAAGGGCAACAGTGACTTAAGATGAAGTGCCTTTTGGGTGGAGTGACTAGTCTTCGTGTTATTAACAGTTCAAAGAAGATCATATTGTGAGTAATTAAAAATTATAAGTCTCTTTGTTATTGAGTACATGGGGCATAGCTGAATCTTCTAGCTGGCAGCTCTGTATACCAAGAAACTTGCAATTAGCTGAATGTCCACAAATACTGTCTGATGCTTTAGCAAACTTCAGGTTTTGAACACATTTCTATCAAAATTCAGTTTATTGTTTCTTTTCTGTATTTTCACATTGTCATTGTGGTAGCTTGGAGAGAGCATGTTAGAAGACCAGTATCCTGGCTCTGTTCTGTAGCTGGGGAAAAAGCTAATACAGACCACAGAGGATGAGTGGGATATGTTGTGTGTTCACTTCTGAACTGGAGAGCTGCTACATGATGAATCAGCCACAGCTTTCATCTTGACCTTTTTGCAACCTTTGAGGTAGAAAACATTGCAGTAATTCATCCTGAAGGTAACACAGGAATGGACCACAGTGGCAAGATGCTCATTCAAGAGGAGAAGGAAGTAGCTGAAGGTGAAGCATGTTTTTTTCTGGGCACGAGCATTCTGTGTAAGAGCACTGATGAAGCCAGCAATATGCCAACACAGTGGATTGGTCCCAATAAGCAGAGGAAATTACCTTTGAAAGTCATGCCTACCCCAAGCAAATGCATATATGCCTTCTGCTTTTGTTCATAATCTGTTTCTGTATCCAGGCTGTGATGTACTGGTGGTCTGACTGGAGCTCTGCTGATGCTGAAATACTAGACAGATTTGTCTACCATTAGTTTATCAACTCTGAAAATGTGATTACAGCTCCTATTTGAAATGAAGTGTCTTTATCATGTGCCATATACGGACGTTAGCTTGTGTAAATTGTGTAGTCAATGTCACCATTATGTTCTGTAATCATACTTTACACACTGTCTATGATGGTTTTGCTCGAACTTGCATAATCACACAGACACAGGGAGGCACTCTGGCACCATCTTACTGAGAGTTTGCAGTGACCATCTGCTTCAGTCCTTTTACCCTGAATGACAGTCAAATCTGCATGATGTCAGCTAATGTTGTAGCCCATCAGTCCTTTGCCGTTCCTGTAGGTTATGCTGAATAAAAACTGTCACAGGCTTCAGTCTCACTAAAGAGCTTGCGAGGGCTCTCTGGGACTTGATGGTGAATATGAGTGAAGGAATGCAATGCCAGCTGAGGACTTCTAGATAATCAGAAGCAACTCCTGGCTAACACTTGGAAAGCTTGATGTTGGTCAGCCAGCATCAGTGCACATGCTTTGCTTCTGTTTGCAGCTAGACAGTTGTCTTCTGTCAGTGCAACAAGTTGGGTCTTCATGCTCCAAAGGCAGATCTTCAGTAGAAACTCGCCAGCACCACCAACTAGTTGATACTTGTGGCTCTGGCTCACTGCTGCTGTAGCTTTCCCCAGAGGAAGGGAAGGAGGTGATTGTTGAGAAGAGCTGATCTCTGTCATCTCTTAAGTGCAGGCTTGACTGTTTCAGGTTTCAGGGTGGTGAAGAAAATCCCCTTCCTGAGGGAAGTGTTTGTCAGAAATAGGCTGATGTGATCTCAGTGAACTTCTACAATAAAGACTCGTTTAGCTTACAACAGGGTGTGTTTCTCAGGACATATTTACAATAGGGATAGCAAACATTTTGATTTGATTCTCCTGCAGCTGAGACCTTCTCTTAAGCCCATTTCTGATGTAATATCTGTGGTAGGTAGGAAGAAGGCTGCTTACAGCAGAAGGGACTTCAAAGTCATCTAGACAGATTAATTTTGTTTCAGGTGAGCATGCAGTTTTGAAAAACTCTGGGAAGAAGAGTGTAAGACTGCATGGGCCAGTAAAAAGGACACCGTGCCTGAGAGCTGAGTCCTCTGTCTCTGTCCTCATGATGTAAAGATACTATCTTGTCCAGGGAAAGCTAGACAAGAACAGGCAAGTTCTGCCCTCCCTTCGGAGGAGGCTGTGTTCAGTCAGGGCATGAAGGGATCAGGTGCCTTTCTACCTCTCATGGACATTTTCCCCCAGATTGCTTAAGCAGCTCCTGTCTGTGTGGCTTCCCCTGAGGAAGAGCAAGTGGCTATGGGGCAGTGTGTTGGGGTGAGGTATTGACAGGACTGCTGATGACTGAGGATCATGCACATGAGCACAGCTGTGGAGGAGAGCTCCTGAGATGCCTTTGGCTAATGCTTCCTACAGTACCCCAGAAGAGATTGCCTCTCAACTAGGGCATCTGAATTGGTTCTGACAAGCACATCCCACCCCCTCACCTCCCTCAAGCTCTTCCTAGCTTGACTCAGTGAGCCGTTTGCAACCAGCTAGCTGAACAAACTGGGAAAGTCCCTGGAAATATGCCTGTTTATCTCGAGGCCATCATTTTCCATATGCTGTAGATTGAACATGTGTGTTGGAGAGGGAATTCTCTTCTGTTACCTCTCTCTGTGTATTTCTTAATATTGCCTTGTTTCATTTGCTTTTTTGGCTGTGGAATACCTTGTTTACCTTGGCTTGTAGCTTCAGGTTTTGGGTTGTTTGTTGTTTTTTTTTATCTTCTCCCTTTCTCCATTTCATAAATTTCACATAAATTACTGTGAATAAACTTGTTTTTCTTGCCTGTCACTTACTGTTTGCTTTATCACTAGTTACCTCTTGATGAGCTCATATGATATTGCACAATTCTCATCTGTTAACAGTACCAAAAGGACCAAGAAATAGATGATAATTTTCTGCCAAGCTAAAATGACTTCAGGATTTTTGTCATTCTTTTCTCAGTTGTAACCAGATGGCTTTATGGCAGTATTTCCTTTTCCCCACTGTTGCTCAATGTTCTTGTTCTTTCTGTAACCTCAGCAGGAACTTCTGAAGTAATCACCCAGTAGATTTGTACTTCAGGGTAGGAAGGGCATTAGCAAATTGACAGTGAAATTCAGAAGCATACCACAACACACAGAACCTAAAATAATGCAGCCCATTGTTAACAGATCACCTTCAGGAGTGTGTACTTTAAACAGGCAAAATGATTAGCCAAACCTGTTGTTTTGGGGTTTTTTTACATAGGGATATGCAAGACAAATAGTTTGAGCAGATAGATTTTTAGTCAGTAGACACAACAGTTGTCTGTAGTCTTACCAACTGAGGCAGATGTCTTGCTTGGCTACCATTAGCATAAATAACAATGTGTATTTATGGGGTTGTGTGCTACTTAATTCAGTGCTTGTATAGACATCTGCTGCATGCTTTCCCTATAGCAAGTTCACACTCTGTGTGTATAGATATGTGTATCTACATGTTTATATATGTGTGCATCATATATATCTATCTTCACTGATGGAGAAGATAAAGCACCTGGAGTTAACTGTTAGTCACTGGACGGTGCACAGGTATGGGACTTGCTTTCAGGAGAAACAAAATAGCTTAACATCAGTATGCAAATACAAATTACAGTGTACTGAGACAAACTGGCTGGTTTGGTGTTCTCAGGCCTGTTGTTTCTAGTTCTTTGCAAAACACCTTCTGCACTGATTAGATCCACTTCACACTTTTTGTGGTTGTCCTTTAAAGCCATTTAGCAGCCAGCAGCTTTTATTTTTACTACATTGTTTAAAGCAAGTGTTAAATAACAACAAAGTAGTTTCAGAGTAATACTTGGGTGGCTTACAAGCACAGGCTACCAGCTTCAGCTGCTGCTTTCAAACTATTTAGTCGGTCTTAATCCTTCAGGCTCAAGTAAGTTTCTTCATGGATTAAACAGCTGGCTTGGTATCTGCTCTGATACTTCTAATGCTTTTCTGGTGGACTGTGTCAACTGCCTTTCCTTCGTAGCTGTTCCACTTAGATTGCTGGTCTCTAGACTTTTATGTCTTGAGCTGGACATATGTGACGTTCTGGTTTTACTGCAAGTTTGTTAAACTGTAGGCAAATTTTTTGTACTATTTTTAAAAAAGCCAGTGGATACCCTCATCCTGTTCCTGCTTCTGGCACAGACGTTTGTGATTTTCCTCTCAAGGTCCCAGGGGAATTGATGGGGTGAGGTGCGAGATTTAGCACTGATTATCCTTAGCAGACATGGTGTGAGTCATTCTGAGGTTTGCACTTCAAGCTTGGCTGTTTGGATTTGTTGTGTAGCACTAAATTCTCAGAAGCTGGCAGAAAAGAAGCGATCACTTCACTCTGGCTGGTGTTTCACCTCCAGCCAGCCCCCATTTCCATGAGCTGCTTCTGTGGGCTGCCTATAATTGTGTGAAACAGGAGTTCAAGACTGACACTGGTGTCAGCCACATCAAACTTTGTCTCTTGGCTGTTGGGGCCTCTCTGATAAGACCTATGTGGGAGCCTTGAGGAAGGGCAAGGATTTGGATTTGTTCTGCTACAGCAGCATTCCTGGGTACTGCAGCTTTCTTTCTTGTGAGGCAGATTATGTTCATCATATTACCAAACCACATATGAGGTGGGGTGAAGACTGCCTACAGCAAGGACTGGCAGCTGGAGGATGCTCAGGGGGTGCTGATGTGCTCTGATCACGATACCAGCTGGGTTACTGGAGCTGCTCTTCCTGGGGCAATCTTTGGAGCTCAGCTAGAGGCCTTTCCCAGAGGACTAAGCTGAAAGGGATCAGGGAAATCCTCTACAAATATTCCTTCACTTGTTTCTGCTGCTGCATTAAGAAAGGGGGAATGCAGCTCCCCACAGGGCTGGACTACTACCACCAACAGAACTGCATCCACATTGCCCCATAGCGTCAGCATCGCGTAAGTCCTGCCTTGGTCAGCTTTTTGTTGTGACTGTGACTGTGATAGCCAGAGCATAGTTTAAACCAAGTTTTGAATATGCTGAGTCTGGTCTGACTGGTCAGTGGCTAAATGCTGGCAAGTAGGATTTTGGAGAGCTGTGAAAAATAGGTACTGCATGGGTACAAACCAAAGAGATTTATCAGAGAGAGTGTGGCGTGGTGGGAAGGAGCAAGCTGTGGGAGGGTGTCAAAGCAATTGCCAGTTCCTTCCTCTTTCCCTCCCCTGGAAATCCTTCACCTCACCAGGAGTATGTTGTGGTTTGGGTTTTTTGTTTGTTTGTTTGTTTTGTTGCTATTTGCATGGCTGCAGTGTATGTGTTTTGGCCACATCTCTAAGTCACTGCTGTCTGTTGTAGTTGTGTACCAACATGTGGCTGTCAAGCCTCTGATGTTGCTGTACATACAAAGAAAGTAATAAGGTGGTGCCCAAGTCTGTGAGCCTGCAACTGATGGAATCACTCCTAATTTAAACATGTTTTGGGAGCAAATTCTTTCTCAGTTTCTTTACCAGAAGGAGTGTGCAAGCGTGGCAGACAGAGAACCGTGTGTCCTGGGAATCTGACAAGGTCCTGGCCAGGCTCACTGTTACAGTGCAGATACTTTTACATATAGGTAAATGTAATGTTAGGGGAATCGAGGCCTGATTTAGGAGTTATTTAGGTTCATGACTTAAAAACTGCTTAGGGTACCTTGTGAAGCTGATGGCAGCTGTTTAGTAGGTCATGCTCATGATGTTGTTTGATGCCCAAGAAGGAAATTTCAGATGCAATTCCCAGGTTTTCTGATGAACTACTGAACATCTCAAAGGCAAGTTTGGCAATGGTGCTATTGCTCGTGCAGGGTGCCTTTACTCTGGGAATGGTCTTGCTGAATTCAGGGGTCAGGTCCAGTTCTTGTTTTGTTAGGAGAGTGCCTGCTACCTCTTTTGAACCATTGGGTAAATTCAATGTTCACGATGCAAAGTGATTCTTCAAATAGCAAATCTGTAATTGTTTTTCAGACCTCAGAGTGGAAGTGTTCTGACCCTCTCCTTTTGTAATCTTAATAGGACTTTACAGAATCCAACCCAGGTTCCAGTGGTTGTGTCTCCTAGCAATCAGCAGCTGCATACTGTAACACTCCAGACAGTGCCTCTTACTACAGTGATAGCCAGCACAGATCCAACCTCAGCAACAACGTCCCAGAAATTCATTTTACAAGCCATTCCTACTTCACAGCCCATGACGGTCCTTAAAGAAAATGTCATGCTACAGTCTCAGAAGCCAGTCTCACCTCCTTCCTCAATCGTGCTGAGCCCAGCACACGTTCAGCAGGTGATCACCAGCAGCGTGCAGACAGTTTGCAATGGGACAGTCAACATGGCTTCGTCTCCATCCTTCAGTGCTAACACCCCTATGGTAACATTCTCGCCCAGCAACTCACAGGTAGCTCATCCCTCTGGCACAGTGATCACTTCAGTTATTAAAGCGCCAGAAACAAAGCACAGCGATGTACAAGAGGCAATGAAAGAAGATGACAGTGACAAAGCAGGTGATACTGAGCAGTCGGAGCAGAGATTCCAGCAGCAACAGTTTGTGATGGTGGTGTCCAGTTCAAATGGCTTCCCACCTGATGTGCAAGTGAAGCAAGAAAATGAGCCATTGGAACCCAGTTCATATTGAGTAAATTCTTAAAACAAGCAAACAAACAAAAGACCCTGTGGATGATTATTTTCATAAATGTGATGGGACCTCTCAGTTATGTATATATATGATTTGATTCTGAAGCAAGATGTTGCAAAGCTCCTTAATTTCTGCAGTTAATTGTTAGAATTCATGCTTTAGAATGGATTTTGATTTTCTGTTAATTGCTAAATGTCATCATATAAATAAAATGACATATTATTCATGTTTCAAAATACAGGCATAAAACATGCTTTTTACGCTATGAAGACTTTCTCCTGAGGTTGTTGGCCAAAGTTTCAGACTTCTTTCTTATTGTATGTTTTCAATCTGCTTCCGATTTACATTGCAGTAACGTTACTATAACCTTTTCTGTTTAATCCCTACATGTATCACTTAATTCCAAAGCAACAGTTACTTTTAGTGGGACTTTTTTTTCATTCCATGTGTATGAATTTTTATGATCAACTATCTGTTCCATACTGGTAAATTACACCAGTTTTAGTCTTTGATAACCAGGTATCCTCTTGCATTTTGTGCAGCACAAGCTCTTGTGTGTGCAAAATTGACTATACACTCCTATTGAGAGTATACAAAACATTTATTCCAGTAATGGACAACACATCTCTATTTTATACAGAAACATCAGATATATTTAATTACAGAAGCTAACAGCATCACTACAGGTGCAAACGTTTCATGCCATTTTGTGACTATGAAGCTTAACAGTCTTGCTTTCTACTTCAGATTATTTTGTAAGGGGGGGAGAGAAATTAAATATATACAATTTATACAGGTATTTGGAGATTAATACTGCTATGATTTCTTTTTTTTTTTTTTTTTGATTGTAAATAATGTACATTCAATGTCACAGGGAGGTTTTTTCAGCTAATTTTGTTTCCATACAAATTTTTGATAGATGCAAATAAGATCATTATGTTTAGAGGTCTAATGTTATATGTATTCATATTACAGAGTGAATTTGTATTTAAAGACAAATTTTTAAATGATGGAGCCCTCTGAACCTTGGGTCCTTGCCTTTTGTATTTTTAATTGGTTTATTATGAAAATAAATCAAGTGGAAAAACATTTTTCTGTATTTACTCTGCAATGGTTTACATTATTATGACTTTTCTTGCCCATTATAAATAACCAAACTACACTTGAGC